AAGAGAACTGATCCTTCAATACACATTTTCACTTGAAAGTGATCAAAACATGAATGTAAAGATGGGGCATATTGTGATGATGTAAAGTTTTCAGCAGTTAGGTAAGCCTTTAAATCTTTAAAGCAAGCTTATGTGCATCACCTGTCTTATTGACAAGGCATCTCAGCAAGAAGATTTCCAGTAAAGAGTTGATAGGATCAGCTGTGATGCAACATGCCTTCTCAAGACTTTAATACTATGACTATACGTATTTAAATGAAATATGTTTGCTCAAAACATTGTCTTATGATGAGACCTGTTTCACACACACAACTAATCTATGTTTGCACAACCCAGTAAGGTGAGTATCCCCCCATCTCATTATGAATCTGCTTAGTATGAGATTCACCCAAACTACAAATTGTAGTGGAACTGTATGATCGAAGTCACTTGTGGTCACTTCAGACATGAACTAGTATCTGATGTGAGTACAAAGCTTATGTGTACAAATAATAAGCACCATCTGGAAGTGAAAACTTATGGTTGAAGTGCTTGGGTGGAGACACCCTATCAGCATGGGATTGTATCAGCTTGCGGCTGGAGCCAGCATGTACCATGCTGCCCTACTTTGGCCTCTCTAGCTGTGAGTGAAATGCTTCAACACCCCTGGAGAGGTTCTGACCAGCGATCATACAAGAGAATCAACTGTAGATGGGATAAGCCCGGGACTATTCAAGGGCCTACATATGGCAATGTGTAGATGATTACAAAAGGTATGGATTTACTCATGAAAGGTACCAGTTGCACATCATGGCATGATCAGCTAGTTAATGATGGCAAGTGTCAGCTTCCACAGAAATGCAAACAAAACAAATGAACTTGAAGTAGACATGTTAAGTAATGTAACATAGATCACACAAACTGGTTTCCATTAACAAAACAAATGCAGCCCTGCATTCAGTAGGTCCAAAACATGGCATATGTTTCCTACATTGTAACATTTCTAGGTGTTTTGTCTACTTAACAGGTACAAGATAGGGTCAGTCACACCTTTGCTTTAAGTACCACAACATTGCCCTCAACTTCTGTAGGACACTCATGAATAATTTCCATCCTTTTCTTTGACTGGAAATAATCAGACACACTATAAGACAAAACACCAGCACCACATACTGCTGAACACAGGGCTGATAATGCTGAGTCAAACACAACAAGACTTAAAATAAAATAACCCATTGAGTTATCTACCCTTATATCTCCTTATGAGCTCCACCATTGAGTTAACAGCATCAGAGTAGAATTGAACATTTGATCTGCCAATGTTGAAATGTGTACTGGTGCACAGATTCACAGTCAGCTATACAGCATAAAACATTATGTTGTTCTCAACTACACTTAGTACACTCTAGTACTGAGCCTAAAGTGCCTGGTCAGTCGCGGTATTGTTCTCAAGGTGTAATGATGGAGGTACTAACTGCCCACACTCATGTCCGGGTCACAGAGGTCCCCCTAAAGATGGGTTGGCTGCCTGCCTTGAATGAGTTGACAAAGAGGTAGTGGCTGGTTCAGACTGACGGTTGGACACTGATGACTTCTATGTGATGTGATGTATGTTATGACTGGGCACAGAGGGAAATGACTTCTTTCTGTTCATGTATTCTCCACCAGCTCCTTCTATTTCCAGCATGTACAGCACACTGGCAGCAGTAATCATTGTTGGCAGTACACATCTTCTGCTAGAAAAAACATGGTAGGAATCTATGTTGTCCATGTCAGGAGGGTAAAGTTGTCCTCAATAGGTAGATGCAAAACCGCACTAGAGAAACCAGTAACAACTCAGCCAACAATGTGTACAAATAAAATCAGTTCACAGGAAAACAACTAAGAGTACCAGTCACATTAAACTGTTTTTATGCCTGCAAAAAACCTAAAAGAAACACTTGCTTGTGATATGTTTTTGTGGCCAGCTTTGCAGTGTGAGTCTCTGTCTCCCCTGATTACAGTGGCACAAGACTGTTAGGACTGTGAACCTTCCTTTTATTACTGACTTATTGTAGTGGAGTTAGACCAGTCTGGCTGCATGTCCCCCTTCTGGAAGAAGCTGTAGTACTGGGCTCTCCCCAACTGTAGTGCAATGCTGACTGGCAAATGGAGGACATGATGGGTGTAACATTGTATCCCACTGATGATGGCACCCCAGCCACACTGCTGGTGTTGGGAGAAGGAGGTACAGCAAGTGGTGAGGGGTGGAGTGATGAACTGTGTAGGGATGGTGGTATGTACAGCGGATCTCTGTCACTGTCACCTGGGTGCAGGATGCTGGGCTCGGTGGGTCAGGAGCCGCCATAGTCGACACAACACACCGCCCCTGTAATAAGCCATTGGATGTACTGATTGCAAACTGTTTCAGGAAAGTAGTTTCCAGACAAAAACCCTGGTGACTTAGTGACAACTCCCCTCAAACCAGTGACCCTTGATAAATCTACAACTCTGTACACCCAGGGATCCTAGTAGTTTAGACCCAAGGGATGAACTGCCAAGTTTATGGTGGCAATATCAATTCTTTTGAAATAAGTATGCTTCAGTGTTCCTAGCCTTTCAATACTGAAGTTAATACTGTGCCATGATGAATCTAGACTGAGAGTACAGAATGTCTGTGTAACCTACTTGAGTTGAAGGCGAGTGAGGTCTTCCTTGGTGGCCAGCTCCAGCAGGTCAGGCAGAGTGTACTCCTCCTGGCACACCTGTAGCACATGCAAGGAGGATACTCACTTTGTCTCACTCAATATTAAAATGATTCACATTGTTTACTTTCCTGATACAGAACAAGTTTAAAGAGCAACCTTGTCAATACTCTGTCATAAGCACAACGCTTCATGAAAAATTATTCATTATGTTTCTCATTTATAATTTCTAAAAATTATTACTATGTATTCTCACTTAAAGGCAAGGGTTCAAACCTATACACAGTTGGGGTGTGGCCTTGCCTTGTCAAAGCCGTCCTTAGATGAAAAGCAATGCAATCACAAAAATTGACTTACTGGTTCAGGCTGATATGTGGCCATAGTGTAAAGAAGTAGGTTATGAAGACTCACTGAAAAATGTATGGATGCAGACAGCCTACAAAACATACATTATGAAAATATATTTCTCTTTTTTTCAAATCCAGATTTGAATTTCCCCTGTATCAGTCAGGTGGCCAGAAGAGGTACGCTTCCATAAGAAATAAGCCTGTGAGTTGGCTGAAAGTTGCATATTTCAAGAAGGCTGTGAAAATGCCACCTCCCCACCCCCTGACCCCATGCTCTGCAGGGTTAGGGCTGTACACTTGTTTGATGCTGACATCACCATGTTGAAGATTATATTTTCAGAAAATAAGTAAAATTTGAAATTTCATATATGCTAATCATTAACATATACTAGCCACATAAAGAAACTGTGCACACAGAAAATTCCTTCAGAATTGGAATACAACACAAAAAAGACGACATGATGTAGACGCTTTATAAGCTGAAGTATCGGGCCTCAACAACATGTCAAAAGAACATGAACAATATCCATAACGATGACGTCAGAAGTTCAAAATTGAGTCGGGGGTCACACGTCGAAGTCACAAAGTCAATAACGGGTATGACCATCATGCGCGTGATGCACAGCAGTGCATCGACGATGCATAGAGGCTACCAAATTTTCCAAATGAAGGCCTGGGGAATGGTTTGGGACGTGGTCACTGCCATCTGGAACCTGTGACTGATATGAGTCACCCGAATCCATCTGTCCTGTCTTGGCGTCGTTACTCGGGGACGCCCATAACGTGGGTAGTCGGCGACGTCATTACTGTTTCCCTAACGCCTGACCAATGCAGATATCGTGTTACGATGGCATTGGAAATGTGCTGCCACCTGTTGTTGGCTCATGCCTGCTCGAACCATTCCAATGGTTTCATGACGTTGAGCACATGTTAATCTTGGCATGATGTGCATGTGACTTCTCATGTGAATTTGTGAACGTTTGAATGACCAAAGATCAAGCTTTCGACAGTGACAGCAATTTCTGAATTTCACAGGCTGCACGTGCAGTAACACATTGCAAGTCCATAGACCACCATCAATGACTTCACGTCGCCTGGCACCTGCATGAGCGTTTGATTGTCTCCAATACTTGCTATGTTCACACCTTTATTTATGCATAAAGACGCTGTCTGCCTATCTTTATATTTTCTGTGTGCACAGTTTCTTTATGTGGCCAGTATATATTGTGAAAGAGTTGGCATTTACTCTAAGGCACTATCTATTCTAGTAGTAAATTCCAAGGTTGACCTTTGACCATCACCAGACTCTTGCCAGGCACCCATAGCCATTACAGTCCTGTCACTCATGGGCAGATAACATCTACACTGCTGAGGAGTAGCCAGTGGAGACTACTACTAGATTTGCTCCCGGCCTTTAAGGAAAATTACCAACAAATTTTATTCAAAATAAAAGCCCTCTACAGCCCAAATGGTGCCAAATGCTGACTTATGTACCTTGTGGCATACAGAAAGATTGGCCGGAGTTTGAGCTTCACAAACTAAATGATGGACATAATGTACCAATGAGACTGAGAACTGACCTTGTGAATGGTGTCCTGGTCAAAGTTCCGTTGAGACAGCCAGGACACTAGTTCCGAGTCAGGGATCACCTGAATCTCTGGAACACCTTCAACACAAATGTCATAGAAGTATTATCCTAACATAGCACTGGGGACAATCTCTTGATATAGTGCCGAAGGCAACGTCATGTTGTGCTCCTGGCAGAAGTATTATCTCAATATAGTGTGGAAGACATCATGTTGTGCTCCTGGCAGAAGTTTTATCTCGATATAGTGTGGAAGACGTCATGTTGTACTCCTGGCAGAAGTATTATCTCGATATAGTGTGGAAGATGTCATGTTGTGCTCCTGGCAGAAGTTTTATCTTGATATAGTGTGGAAGACGTCATGTTGTGCTCAAACAGAAGTATTATCTCGATATAGTGTGGAAGACGTCATGTTGTGCTCCTGGCAGAAGTATTATCTCAATATAGTGTGGAAGACGTCATGTTGTGCTCAAACAGAAGTATTATCTCAATATAGTGTGGAAGACGTCATGTTGTGCTCAAACAGAAGTATTATCTCGATATAGTGTGCAAGACGTCATGTTGTGCTCCTGGCGGAAGTATTATCTCAATATAGTGTGGAAGATGTCATGTTGTGCTCCTGGCAGAAGTTTTATCTCGATATAGTGTGGAAGACGTCATGTTGTGCTCCTGGCAGAAGTATTATCTCAATATAGTGTGGAAGACGTCATGTTGTGCTCCTGGCAGAAGTATTATCTCAATATAGTGTGGAAGACGTCATGTTGTGCTCAAACAGAAGTATTATCTCGATATAGTGTGGAAGACGTCATGTTGTGCTCCTGGCAGAAGTATTATCTCGATATAGTGTGGAAGACGTCATGTTGTGCTCCTGGCAGAAGTATTATCTCGATATAGTGTGGAAGACGTCATGTTGTGCTCAAACAGCAGTATTATCTCGATATAGTGTGGAAGACGTCATGTTGTGCTCCTGGCAGAAGTATTATCTCGATATAGTGTGGAAGACGTCATGTTGTGCTCCTGGCAGAAGTATTATCTCGATATAGTGTGGAAGACGTCATGTTGTGCTCCTGGCAGAAGTATTATCTCAATATAGTGTGGAAGACGTCATGTTGTGCTCAAACAGCAGTATTATCTCGATATAGTGTGGGAGACGTCATGTTGTGCTCCTGGCAGAAGTATTATCTCAATATAGTGTGGAAGATGTCATGTTGTGCTCCTGGCGGAAGTATTATCTCGATATAGTGTGGAAGACGTCATGTTGTGCTCCTGGCGGAAGTATTATCTCAATATAGTGTGGAAGACGTCATGTTGTGCTCCTGGCGGAAGCATTATCTCAATATAGTGTGGAAGACGTCATGTTGTGCTCCTGGCGGAAGTATTATCTCAATATAGTGTGGAAGACGTCATGTTGTGTTCCTGGCAGATAAGTTATTAGTCACACTTGTCACAGTCATGGGATAACAGGCAGACAGCAAATTTTGGATACTGAATTATGTTAGACATTTTATTATTGTTGTCACATGTTTCGACTCATCTCATATTTCCATACAGAATCATATAACAAACGATAAGTTTTTGAGCAACTTTGAGATATCGGTGTGAAAAAGACTATGACTGAACTCACCACTCCGATAAAATAGTACTGCAAACGTTTTAGTACTGTCAAAAGCTCTGTGACTGACAGATCATCTGCTTTGTGTTCATGCAGGCTATCATAAAATCACATTGCCTCTGAAAAACTCATTTGATGTAAACAGCAAGCCAATAAGGAGAGCGTAAACAAATGACATAATTTCCTAGTGTCATGGCCGCACTTCCGAACTCAGAAGTAATCGAATCAGTTTCATTTCACAGACTTACATATTAACATCTGACCGAAATAATATTAACCTCATCAACATTTGGTTCCATGTTATAATTGTTCTAAGTTTATGTGCAAATGATTCTTCTGCCAGTGAAAACTGATGACCCTAGGATAATTATGAGTTGGATACAGGTAAAACAAGGTTTTGGGGGAGACAGAAATTGAATCATTACAACACACAAGGAGGATGACATGGGTACAGTTAACAGTAAGGCCATCCACAATTTTTTTTATGTTTCTCTCATCTTCCCCCCCCAAAAAAAAAGAAGACCCCCCTAAAGAAAAAGGAAAAAAAAAGTAGCAGTTTGCCATCTTCTGCCAGCTGTTGACAGAAAATGACCCTCCTACAGTACCCAGACCATAAAAAGAGGCTTTTCTTATTGTGAAAATCCTTTTCTCTCAATTTTAGACAGTTCATATATCATTAAACATAAGGAAACTACATGGAATAATTATGCTACAAACTTTTAATAGAGCCTCTTTAAATGTCGCATTGGATCATAATACAACAAAGTCAGTTCTTCAAAACTGGCACTTTCTTTACTTTTGGAATGATTTATCACTTTTTGTAGGTTTTTAGGCCACCGGTCAAAGGCTGTCGTCCACTGGTAGCTCACTGGTTGCAGGTCCACAGTTTAATTTCCAAGCGCAATACGAATTGACACGATAGAAGATAACAGGAAAATGCCATGAAAAATCGGTATATAGTCACGGCATTTCCTACCACAGAACACGAGACAGTGTAAGTCTCGGGTGTCATGGCATCTATGAAATAATGTAGACTCACTTTATATATCAGCCCTTATGTTATTTCCGACGGTCATTCTTCAACTATTGCCGCATTCAAATTTAACAAATAGTTCTCATACTACCACTGATCTCAATGTGAAAAGAATCGGAGATACACCTCCAACCAACTGACCTGTATCCCCTGGAAGACCTTTATCGCAAAGTGTTTATTACACATCCCTGACAATTGAAGAAATTCTGCGTAGAATGTAACCTTTAATTATAAATATGAATAGTACGTTTTGATCAGCAGTTCTTCACACATTTCATTTTGTTTTTAAATTCTGACAATATATGTTTCTGACGCATACTTAATGTACCATACACCTATTGTCCAAGTTGTCGGTTGCAGCATAAACACCAGTCATCATAGTTTGAAATAAAATATTTATAGCCCTTATAAAATGTGCCCATCAGTCAGTGCTGTGAGTCATTATATATGTTAATTCATTGATCCATTTCTTACAAAGGTTTAACACCATTCAACCTCTAAACATAAGTACTCATTTACAGAGATTTGTCTCAACAAACAACAGATCAGTCTGACCACCCAAGAGGATGTGTATGATAGAATTATATGTGTATAGAATGACCTATGTATCTTCTTGTTTTAGTAACATTATGTTCATCAAATATTTCACGTGACAGACCATACACTATCTAGCTATAGCTTTATATTCTGATTTTCATTCAACCGTTCTGAAGAAAACTTTATTGTTATGTCTGTTTGTTAGGAATTAACATAGAAAATGTGTTTAAAAACAAATATGTTTTTGATGACATAAATTCCATGTAGATATGTGTATGCATTGTTTATTTTTTTACAAATTTAACAGATGATACTTATGTACAATGACTGAATAAAGTCATGCATGTGTAATGTAATATTAAAGTACACACGCACCATCATACAAAAATATCAGATAAAATTCACTACGAAATTCACAAGTTGCATAACAATGTCTTCACATTTCGCGGACAACATCAGCTCCCGGCCGTACTGAATTACATGAATGCAGCCTAATCTGCGTAATACGATATAGATTTGAGTACAAATGCAAAAATACACTGCAGGCTTAAAAGTGTGATCTTCAGACATCTAGTGACAGAATTGAATTACCGATTGCAAAACGTCAACAAAATGACAAAATATGACCTGAAAACGATCAGCAGATTCCACCGGCCTCGCTTTGAATGGCCTTTTTGCAATTCATTAATGCAATATAAGCAGTCATGGCTATCCCCGGTGTATCATGGAATCACATAACAAATATTTCAGGATATCACACTTGATATATCATCGGTCAAGGGAAAAGATATACCGTCCATATGTACCAGTTTGAACATTAACGGTGATGGTGAAGGCTGTACTGGTTAACAGTCCCTAAGTGTTTAGTAACAAGAACAGCTCCCATCGCGCATAACACATGCGCTGTCAGTTTAAGGTTGGACCATCCGGATCAGCGCTCCAAGCGGATTAGTGAAGTGAAGATAAATTCATAAAGATTGCCCATTTAGATGCTTGAGTTGACTTTCAAGACACATTTTTCGTTTGATCGGGCTGAAATTATTGCTGTCGGCGGCATTCTGTAAAATAAAATAAAAATTTGGGGGTTCCGTCGGAAGGAAAATTTGGGTCGGTCGGGAGATGAGAAACACAGAAAAAAAAATACGGATGGCCTCAGAAGGATGCTCATTGTGATATAGCATCAGCACCAGAGACAGCATCAACATGTTTCCATGGAGACACTTACCTGCAGACATAGTCTGAGACTTCAGAGCCAGATTTTGATCTTTATTGGACACTAGTAAACTAAAAAGGAAACATTGACATGATCATTTAATCAAAAGTGAGCAAACTTGTGACAATATTCAACTTATCTTGTGACTGCCATTAAGATGACTAAAGGTGGAATTCCCAGTGGGTGCCCTGCTACCTACAATGGTTGAAGGCAACCGTTTGGATCAGACTAAATGACATGTTTGAGTGTCCCTGTATCATGACAGGGTGGACCATTGCTCACAATAACAAACCTGGAGCAATCACTCCGTGGTGAAGCAACAAGCATGTGACATCAAACTCAACACCAGGTCATCATGTCCGGCCTTGCCAGTCTTCCTAGTATGGTGCAATACAGGCACAGCGCCTGCAGACCAAACATTCACTCACAACACATAAAGGCTGTGAATACAGACATACTAACACAGTTAAACTCTACAAAAGGCACTGATGAGATACTGTAATTCATGAAGTTAATCACGGTGCCAGCCCCTGGCCTAAATTGATCATGAAATCAATGCGGTGGCCCTACCTTTGAAGTATCATACATATAGTATAGGCCTTTCACTCTCTGATAACAGGTACCGCTAACCCCCAAGTACATGTGTAAAAAAATCATGATCCCCGCTACCTCCCCAGAACAAAATGTATGACTCCAGGTGAGTCTCTCTCACATGCACGCACGCGACGCCGCGACGCGCGACGACGACGCGCGCGCGACGCGACGCGCGACGCGACGCGACGCGCGCCGCGACGCCTTCGACGCGACGCGCGACGCGACGCGACGCGACGCGACGCGACGCGACGCACGCACGCACGCACGCACGCACACACACACACACACACACACACACACACACACACAACCCATCCCACACCCCATAAATTATGAACGGTCCCTAAGCAAAAAGAAGTGACTTAAACTCACGACAGATGTGACACTTGTAGCTTCTTCTCCTCTATGGATCTGTGGAGCAGGCTCTGGTAGGACCTCTGCACCTCCACCAACTCCTTCAGCAACCTACACACACAAGACAGAGGTAAGTGTCTAGCATCTGTATCCAGCATCTGGCAGTGCATGACACACTCATGCAGGTGGGCCTACCTGAAGTTCTCCTCCTCCATATGCTCCAGCTCAGACTGCAGTTCTCGACCAGCTGCCTTCCTGAATGACAGCGGTTTGAGTGAGTTTGCAGATGACACCCCAGAAGTGACTACTTCATCCTCAATCTGGTCTCCTGATGCTTGACCATCAAATTCTGTCAATACGACAAAACACCTGTGTATTTCCATGTGTGGACTCATGATACAAACATACCAATACATGTTACCTTATGTATGTCTGATGGTGTGCTAATGTCTTTCCAACTTGGCTAAAGTATGACAAGTACAAAGTATTCAGAATACTCTGAAAGTGCAGACCATTCAGCATATCTCAGCTGCAGCCAGTATGACAAGTGAAGACCATTCAGCATATCTCTCCTGGAGCCAGTATGACAAGTGCAGACCGTTCAGAATATCTCACCTGGAGCCAGCATGATAAGTGCAGACCGTTCAGCATATCTCACCTGGAGCCATTATGATAAGTGCAGACCGTTCAGCATATCTCACCTGGAGCCATTATGATAAGTGCAGACCGTTCAGCATATCTCACCTGGAGCCAGTATGATAAGTGCAGACGGTTCAGCACATCTCACCTGGAGCCAGCATGATAAGTGCAGACCGTTCAGCATATCTCACCTGGAGCCAGTATGACAAGTGCAGACCGTTCAGCATATCTCACCTGGAGCCAGCATGATAAGTGCAGACCGTTCAGCATATCTCACCTGGAGCCAGTATGACAAGTGCAGACCGTTCAGCATATCTCACCTGGAGCTAGTATGACAAGTGCAGACCATTCAGCATATCTCACCTAGAGCTAGTATGACAAGTGCAGACCATTCAGCATATCTCTCCTGGAGCCATTATGATAAGTGCAGACCGTTCAGCATATCTCACCTGGAGCCATTATGACAAGTGCAGACCGTTCAGCATATCTCACCTGGAGCCATTATGATAAGTTCAGACCGTTCAGCATATCTCACCTGGAGCCATTATGACAAGTGCAGACCGTTCAGCATATCTCACCTGGAGCCAGCATGATAAGTGCAGACCGTTCAGCATATCTCACCTGGAGCCAGCATGACAAGTGCAGACCGTTCAGCATATCTCACCTGGAGCCAGTATGATAAGTGCAGACCGTTCAGCATATCTCACCTTGAGCCAGCATGATAAGTGCAGACCGTTCAGCATATCTCACCTGGAGCCAGTATGATAAGTGCAGACCGTTCAGCATATCTCACCTGGAGCCAGTATGACAAGTGCAGACCGTTCAGCATATCTCACCTGGAGCCAGTATGACAAGTGCAGACCGTTCAGCATATCTCACCTGGAGCCAGCATGATAAGTGCAGACCGTTCAGCATATCTCACCTGGAGCCAGTATGATAAGTGCAGACCGTTCAGCATATCTCACCTGGAGCCAGTATGACAAGTGCAGACCGCTTCAGCATATCTCACCTGGAGCCAGCATGATAAGTGCAGACCGTTCAGCATATCTCACCTGGAGCCAGTATGATAAGTGCAGACCGTTCAGCATATCTCACCTTGAGCCAGCATGATAAGTGCAGACCGTTCAGCATATCTCACCTGGAGCCAGCATGATAAGTTCAGACCGTTCAGCATATCTCACCTGGAGCCAGCATGATAAGTGCAGACCGTTCAGCATATCTCACCTGGAGCCAGTATGACCAGGGTTGTCTGCACCGCACCGCGTACCAACCCATCTAGCGCAAACATCCAGTGGGGCTGAATCTTGTGCGTCTTGAGACATGTGCTCACCTGCATTAACACAATTCATTACCTTCATTGTTACACTACAAGCCATAAAACTGTCACTCTTTATATTACCATGATATTACTGAAGAGTAAAACATATATAGCTAAGGCCTTGTTGACCATGTATGACTGTCAGACTCACAGCTTCATGCAACACATAAAGAGCTAGCTGGATCTCCATCAGCGCTGTCTGGTCAAATGTCAGGCTATCTCTCAGCTCATCTGTAACACAGAAACCACAAGCTCCAACAATGTATGTCTCATCACTGTACCCTACTTCTAGTATATAAATATCACACTGGAAAACAAGATATGAGCAGCCTGGCGAGAGAGCATGCATCACCTACCTAGGGCTGTATTTAGAGCTCGCACGTTAGGGTCCAATATGTGTCCTCGGATGCCATTCAACAGGCACTTCAGATGATCCTGTGAAAAAAAACATTGTTTCAGTCCTTAAACCAAGTGTCTTCAGGTTCCAGATGAGGCAAATACATCTTGTATAACTTGATGCGTTGGATCTTCTCATTCAATACATAAGGTCCAAATGCACTAGAATGACATTCTAAATACAAGATGCCTTGACACATACCTGCATCCTTAGAAATATACATGTTGTATACTGAACCAACTTGACACTTGTATAACTGAATCCCACAATGGAGTCAGTGAGTTTAGTTTTATGCCGCACTCAGCAATATTCTAGCTATATGGCAGCACCCACAATGGAAGTAAGTGTGCACATTATTATGAAAATAGATGTGTATCATACTGCTATCAATAAGGTACCGCCACAAACTAGAAGATAAAAAATGGTTTCCAGCATCATTTCACAGAAAACATAGTCTATATGGTTCCATGAGCCTCCAGGGCAAACTTCACATGTGTCACTTTTGGTAGAGAAGAAGTCAAATATGAAATTTTTAGAGTAAAATTAATATTTTATACTTATCCTGACTCATGCTTATTTGCTTGTCTTCTTCTTCTGGCGAACCTAGTGGAACACGTATATCTCCCAATTGAAGTTCCCTTCAATAAAAGAAATCACTCATTAGTACTCACCATGAGTTACCTCCCTTTCCCCAAGCGCGGGAACGAGGGCGCCACCCAAGCCCATGTGCTCCACTCTCTCCTTTTTTGTATTGAGCCCAACACTTTATTTTTCTCGAGAAATCAAAAGTGCTAAGTGGGGAGGACGGGAGGGCTTACCTCATGAGTCAGGATAAGTAAAAATATTAATTTTACTCTAAAAATTCATATTTTTCTTATCCTGACTCATGCTTATTTGTTTGTAGAATCCTCAACGGATAGGTGGTGGGATTATATATACTTTGGATTTTACTAATTAGTGATTTGAACTGAGATAATTGTAATAACCCTATGGGAACTTCATGAAGGCACTGAACTGAATTCCTGCTGTATATTAACAGCTGCCTCTTAAGAAGGTTATTACAATTTACTGAATATAATAAAAGTATATAGAACATTAATTAAAGCTAAAGCTATTAATGTGAAGTATAAACTGTAGATAGTTTATAAGTATACTTTTATAAGAACCAAAGTAATAAGCTTACAATATGTATATATATAAGCTATAACATAATTGTGCTTAAGGTATAAAGATAACTTAAGCTGTATAATAGTAACCAACTACTGAGAGTTTGTTAACTAATACATGTTATGAAATGAACATATGACTGAGCTTAAAGATAGAACTTAAGCTGAACATATATATAATAGTAGAACTCGTAAGAGTTGTAGGTATATGTGTATAATGATATAAAATCATAGTACTGAGCTTAAGATAAAATTTTAACTTAAGCAAATATATATAGATAGCATCGTAGCTATTAGTACTGTTATCAGATAAGTATAAAATCATCAAGATAGACTTATCTTCTCCGTGGAACTGTCAACTGTTGAGCGAGGACCATGGGACCGAAATGGTGGATACCTGAGACGTCCTTGGTGGTGATATCTCTCAGATAATGGTTGGCAAACACCATATCGGATCTCCAAAACATCCCTCCATAATGGTATTTAATGAACAATTTCCATGTAAAGCTAAAGTAGAAGTTAGTGCTCTAATTTCGTGGGGATTAGCAGCACTTGGAGGGTCCATTCCAGCTGCCTTGTAGGCTCTTAGTATGACAGTTCGGATCCAGATAGAAATAGTAGTGCGCGACACTTCTGTCCGTGAAGCGGTAGATATAGGGATAAACAATCTTTTGAATTCCCCTCTACTTTGCTTGGATCTTTGGAGATATATTTTCAGTGCACGTACTGGGCAAAGTGATAAGTCCATCGTATCATGTGGTCCAAGAATGGATGAGAGAGCTGGGACATGGAACAACCTGTCTGGTTGACCTGGTAGTTGATTTTTCGCAATAAAATCCCATCGAAGTCCCAGATGAGCGATGTTATGAATATCATCAAACCGTGTTCTCTCGTAATCCAAAGCGTGAATTTCAGACATCCTGGCTGCAGTGGCTAACGCTAGCAGGAATAAGGTTTTGTGGGTCAATGATTCAAATGACGCTTGATAACAATGGCTTCGTAAGCCTCACTTGTGAGGTGTTGAAGTACAACATTCAGATCCCAGGCTGGCGCTTGAAACTTGCGTTTCTGGTCTTCCAATCGAAAAGGCACGTAATAAGGCGAAAGTAACTCTGGTGTTTAAGTCAACTTGGCCCGTCCCTCATAGTAATGACTGAACTTATGGCTGCAAGATAAGTGGATAGTGTAGATCCTTTCAGATTCTTAGTTTGGCGAGGAAACACAAGAATTCTGCCACTTGAGGATGTGTAGCAAGTCTGGCTGAAAATCCTTTCTTAGCAGCATAATTGACAAACTGCGCCACTTGTCATCGCATTACAAGTTACGAGTAGAGTTACGTAGTGCAAGCGTGACCGCCTTCGCCGCTCTGGTGGAATAACCTCTCTTATTCAAACATGCTTTGATACAGTCCACACGTGAAGTTGGTATGCTTCTGGTGTTTTGTGCACTTGTTTGGTGTGCGGATGTATCAGTAGATTGGAGCGCAGTGGGAGCTGAAGTAGTGGTTTTCCAATTCCTAGTATGAGGTCTGGAAACCACGTTCTCGCTGGCCAGTAAGGCGAGACCAAAATCAGATCGAGGCTCTTCGTTTGACTGATTTTTAGCAAGACTTGTGGGATCAACGCAGGAGGCGGGAAAGCGTACGCATTTAGTCCCTCCCACGATATGCTTAGTGCGTCTGGCACTGGCGATACGAAAGTTGTCAGTTGATTGTTGAATCGGGTGGCAAATAGGTCTATGAGAGGAGATCCTATTTCCATGATTATCTGATTGAATATCTCTGTGCGGAGCATCCATTCTGTCGGCGACGGCTGGTGCGGCCGAGAGAGCGCGTCTGCTAACACATTTTTTGCTCCTGGAATGTGGCAGGCTTTGATATGAATGTTTAGACTGTCGACTAATTCGAACAGTCTGAAACATCGGGTGAGTAGATTCAGTGATCTTGTTGACCCTTGTTTGTTCACATAAAACGCCACTGTTGAGTTGTCTGTGTGAATCATTAACTGGGCATTCTGTAACAGGTTGCTCCAGTGACTTATGGCGTTTATGACTGCTTGCATCTCTAGCAGATTTATGTGACATAAGCTCTCTTGAATGCTCCATAGGCTGACGCTGTCCTGCCGTAAGGTGGGCTCCCAGCCTATTAGTGACGTCCGCCCACGAGGTGTATATCCGATTCGCTCTACTAAGGAGACGCCACGCGAGACATTCAATCTCTTGGTCCACCAGAGTAGATGTGGTTTGACATATATGGTAGACTGAATGGTAGAGGGTCCTCGAGATGAGCAATGATGAGGACTTGTAATGGACGCAATTGAAGCCTGCCTCTGAGTGTCAAGTCTTGAGCTGATGTGAGTAGTCCCAGTAGACTCTGCCACTGTCGTAGTGGTAACGGAGAGAGTAGGGCTTGGGGAATCAGTTGTTGTATTTTGATCCATCTGTCCTCCGGGACTACCAAACGATTCTGGGTGTAAGGAATCGTATACCTAGAAACTGCAGATCTTGCGTGGGCTCTAGGTCCGACTTGAGTAGATTTACTAACCAGCCTAACTGTGTTAGTAGCTTGATTGTAAATTCCAGCTGTAGTCTGAGACGCTGTGGATCTGGATCCACCTGTATACCGTCGTCTAGGTAAAATGCACTCCGCAGGCCTTGACGATGTAGGTATGAGACAATAGGCTTGGTTACTCTTGTGAATACCCAAGGGGCCGAAGTGATTCCGAAGGGAAGTACTTTCCATTGGTAGTGTATGCCGTCTAGCATAAACCTCAGATATTTCCTTGACCTGGAATGAATCGGAATGTGTAGGTATGCATCCTGCAGATCTATACTTACCATGTAATCTAGTGGACCTGCAATTAGCTGACGGAGTTGAGGTAAATGTATCATGCGAAACGTTGGTGGTTTGCATAGAAAATCTCTGTTGAAGGTGCTCATGTTGTAAATGAGGCGATACTTCTCTTTGGAATTCTTTTTCGGCACTAGGAAAACTGGGGAGTAGAAGCCTGGTGTGATGTTTTGCTGCTCGAGAACTTCTAAGGCCTGTTTGTTTAGTAGAGACTGAACTGTTTCTCTTAACATCGGTAGTAGTGCCAGCTGAACGTTGAACCCTGGTGGGTCGACTGTTAACGGTGGCTTGGCCTTGAGTTGTAGACGATATCCGTACTGAAGGATGTTGGATACATACGGATCTTGAAGTATTCCCCAGTTTTCCCAGTGTAGTTGCAGACGTCCACCCACTTGAGAAGGTTGTACTGGGACGACTGGGGGTGGAAGACTCCAGTCGTTCCGAACCTGACTTTCATCGTTTAAATCCACGGGCACCTCTGGATGATCTGCCTCTAGCTGATCCTCCTCTGAACTTGTTGTATGGGCGACGAAAAGAATTCTTGGGATTATTAACGGCCGCTAATTTCTTATCCCGGGCCCTCTGTAGCCCTGAAAACTTAGACTTACCCGAGTACCTCTGTGCTGATTGTTTAAAGGCGTTGGCTAACGTATCCATAGATTTAATCATGAGAACTTCTCTAGAATCTTTAGATACTTCCTTGGAAACCTTGTTAATGTTGCCACCAAACAGTAACGGTGAAGACCATGGAGCTGTGTACAGAGGCTCTGTGAATTGTTTATTCCAAGAGCAGGAGGCTAGTAACCCTTGCCGACGTGTCATGGTAGTGATTTCAGTAAGAGCTGAAAGATGGTCTGTAAGGAATTGTTGATCTTTTTTCTGCATAAGTAGTGCTGAGTAAATCATCCTACTCTCCTCATCCGTAGAGTTCTTGAACTTGGTGATGAGAGTTTCGTTAATAGTCCTAGACCTATTAAGTCCGAAAACATCCTCCTGGAAATGGTATCTAACTGGGCCATCTGCGATCATCAATCCTATAAGTTCTGGACTTGGAATCACTGATAAGTTGAAAGTTCTCATCAATCTCCTGAGTCTTGAAAAGGGGCTCCATATTATGTCCATAAAAATTCTTGGCATTGAAGAATGGTAAATGGGTAGGTAGGTTTTAGTAGATTTGGCGTAAGTAGTATCCAGATTAGCAGGAACGGCTGCGATAGGATCCATAGGAGGCACGGTGATACCTGATCTACACATCATCATCTTTCATGAGGAGGTAAGTTTGGGCTGTATCCTCGTTCTTAGAGGGAGAGGCCAGTTGTAATTGGTTACCATCCAATATCTTATCTCAGCTTCTGAGAAAACAATACCATCATCACTCCTCTGATGGATGGTTGTATGTCGGAGTCCTAGATCTGTAAGAAGATCTATGTGAGGACTGAGGAGAACGGACTGAAGAGTGGCTAGTGTATGTAGACCTTGGAAGACATCCTTCAGCGGAGACTGTGATCTCGTGAACGGTGATGGCCGCCCAGACGCTAATGGACTTCTCGAGCGTTGAGGCCCGAATGTCTTCTAGGCGATGTAGAACCACTAAAGCCTTAGCGTCCCACGCGAATGTATGGATTCAGTGTCCGATCCGACATATGAGCTTGCTTCGCGGACGCCCTTCGTGCATGACAGCAGGTGCGCTCGGCGAAGCTGCTTCTCAGCGAAGCCTCTTGCAATAGGTGCGGCTCTAGCTCGCCGAGGCGCCTGGGATAC